GCACAGAGGTCTACACTCCTGCGGTTCTGGGAACAGTGACAGCATGAGGCCAGTCCTGGGCGTCCTGAGAGGGTGACCAGGACATGTCTGACTGACTGTAAACCAGTGGCCATGTGAGTCATCGGGTGTCGGGGAAAAGAGAGTAAGCTTCCCTTTATATTTATCTCATAGCTAAAGAAGGAAAGAAATTAAATTGTGCTAATATTTAGTGTGTGACAGAGGTACATGCACACAATGCGTAAATAAATATGCTCATATGGGGCTTTGTGTTTGACTCTCTCATTGGTAGGTGCGGACAACAAAGTTGGAAGCCCCTGGTACCAGCCGCTCTTTATGGCCACTCAGTGTCATTGCTAGCAATCAGTAACTGTCACCTAGTTCTTGCTAAAGCCCATGTTGCATCCTCCGCCGCCTGCTCCGTGGACCTGCCATGCTCCTCAGGCCGGCCTTCCAGCAAACCCAGTGCTCCCATTAGACCCGGAGCCACTTGGCAGGCCTGCCTCGCCCCCAGCGCCATCTGCGCCCAGCCCGGGCCGTGGCGCTGCCCAGGACACGCTTGCGGGGCTGGTTTAGGGCTACGACACGTTCCCCGATGCCAAGGGTGCCATTTGCCACACAGACGTCCCGCGTCACGCTCCCGCCAGCCCCGCAGCGAGGAAGGCGGATGCTGGAAGACGCAGAGGGCTGGAAAAGACTTCCTCCCGGTTCCCGGGCTGGGGCGAACGCTGCACTCCAGAAACTTCCATCGGAGCAGGTGCACGTGGAGGAAAGGCAGTAGGAAAGACAGGGACTGTGACCACCAAGGGGAGAGGAAACACACCCTGCACAGGGCTCGGCCCTAATGAGACTCCAGTCAGCACCCCTGGCTGCTCCGTACAACTGGACGCTTGGCGACCTGAATGAAAAGAAAATTCTGGAATCCAGTTTTTATCCTCCCAGCTCTGCGATTACAGCGACAAGCCCGAGGTGTGGGGCTGCACCGGCCCGTCCGTGTCCTCCGCCCGCTTCCTGGATGACCTGCAGATGTGACTGTTCTTCCAGAGGAGGACGGTAGCCACCCCGCCACATCTCTCTGGTACATGGCAGAGGGACAGGGCTGAGCCCTTCTCGGGGAGGCGGGCCCCCAGCAACGCATCTGAGGGACCAAGCCTAGGGCACAGCTGCTGTGGCATCACCCTGCTCCACCATCCAAGAGATGTCTACCACACCCCAGCCCCTCCATCACTATGTGTCATCACTGTGTGTCCCAGGGCGCAGGCTGGACCTGGGGTGGGAAGGAGCCTCAGGGCGCAGCCCCGGGCAGCACCTCAGGCAGGCCTCTGTCAGGAGGGTCCCCTGTCCGCCTCCTAGAGCCAGCTCAGTCCTTCCCGGCCCTGCCCTTGCTTCCCAGGTCCCTGTCCCTCCGCACGTGGGCCCCCCGTTTCCCAGCCCCCAGCCCGCGTCTACCTTCATGACTGCAGATCATCCCAGACCCAGGGGAGCGAGGAGACTCTGCGAAGAGTGAATTCCGTCGCTGTAGCATTTACTAGTCATCTCTGGATAGCACGCAGTGAAGCAAAGATTTGAGCCACCGCGAGCCAAGAATTAGCCTCAGCCAGGGTTAATGAACACAGGAGGCTGCGTGGGGCCCTGCCCGGCCAGTGGGACTGCATCTGGGTGTGAAATGAGATGCCCGGGCAGAGTTCCAGGAGCCTGGGGAGCCGGGCCTCGGAAGCCTGCTCCAAAACCCTCCAGGTCTGGCAGCCTGTTCTGTGTCCTGGAGCAGGGCAGGCCAGGGAGCCCAAGACTGGACGCCCCAGCCTCGAATGCCAAGCAGTGTGCAGGGGCGGGCGGGGTGGGCAGCCAGCAGTAGCAGAAGCCAGGCCCTCCACGGCAGGCAGAGAGGGGGCCTCTGGTCCGTGGTGCCAGGCACCCGCCCCCGCAACCTATGGCACTGGCAGCACCCGCTGGGCTCCGATGCTGCCCGGGACGCCGCCTCTGCGTCGCTCATGGCTTGAATTTCAAGTCCTTGCAGCAGGCCATGCCAGGTCCTCACCCCTGGCCCCACCACTGTGGCCACAGGGGTTTCCGGTGGACGACAGCCTCCCACCCCACTTCACCTGGCCACCTGTGGGCCATTTGGTCAGTAGCAGCAGTCTAGGCCCGCTTATCAAATGAACTGGATAGAAGTGACCGGGAGAAAATAGAGAACCGGAGCTCTAGGGCCACCCCGTCGGGGGCCCAGAGGCCTGGAACCCTCCCGCCCCTCCCTGGACCCTGCCACACTGTGCAGCCCAGGGAGCACCTGGCCGCAGCGGGATTCGCCACCGCAGGGGGAGATGCCTGCTCCCCAGCTGGGCCACGTGGCTGATAAATGTCGGGGTCCAGCGTAGAAGTGTCTCCCCTTGGGAAGGCCGGGTGCGGGGTGCGGCTTGGTGAGACATAGAGGGAAGGGACGGGGGAAGGCGGCCTGAGCGGGCCCCAGCCCCGCCTGGGCCTCACCGCATTCCTGGAGCTGAGAGGCGTGGCCCGGCCTGGCCCGGGGCAGTGAGCACCTGGCTGTGCCCCCGCCCCACCTGTTTGCTCCTTTCCTTGGTCACCCCTGTCAGCCACTGACCCCAGACGCTCCTCCACCGCTGCCTGCCTTGGCCACACCCAGGGTCCAGCCGGCCAGACGGCCTGCCCGTGGCACAGCATGGGCTTCGGGAGCCGAGAGGCTCTGAGTCATCACGCCCACGGGCTGGCCCGTGGCACGGCCCGCAGCTCGGGGCGGGACTGAGGGGATCGGAGAAGTGGGAAAAGGGAACTGGGCGCTGCTCCCCGCGGGGCGCTGACGTCTGAGCCGCCCGAAGCCCAGCCCCAGGCCCTGGCGCCCTCCATGGAGCACGACCCAGCACTGCCATCCCCACGGCTTCTGTCCCCCATCTGTGCGTCCCTCTGAGCCACGGGCATCGCATGACCCGCTGTAAACCTGAGGACGTCGCTGAGGGCAGCCAGACAGCTGGCCGGGGTCAAGTGGCCCCAACTCTGTGTGACCTGGGCCCTGCCCAGCCCCTTTCTGGGCCTCACCTTCCCCTTCCTGTGTACCCCACCAGGCTCTTCTGAAGCTCAAAGAGGTGACACGTGGGAAATCGCCTTGACGAGACGCAGGCACAGCACCAGCGTCAGAGACTCTCTTCAGTCAGTTTGGGGCCCAGGCGACTGCACGCAGCTCAGCCAACTTCTCCTCCCCCGAGACCAGCCCGGGCCTGCCTGGGCTGGGACCCCGGCGCACAGTAGGTCCTCCCAAGTACATGAGACTCGGTTTACCCAATCCTGAAGCCCCTCCTACTTCTCAACTACCACCCACGTCACAGCCCGACTTGCCTCCCCAGCCGGCCCATCACGACCTGCGACCAGACCGGAATTCTGGCCCAGCCCGTCTGCAGGACAAGCCGCCCCGACTGGGAGGCTGCTCGTCCCAGGGGGCGGGGGCAGCCTGGCAAAGCAGCTCCCTTTAAATGTCTTCGCTGCGGACCCATACGCGCTGTGCCGCATGGTCATCCGAGCTTCAGCCCGCGCCCTGTTGGAAGGGGAAGAGGGTATTGAAAGGGCGGATTCTCCTCTGCAGAGTTGAATCAGGAGACAAAGCAGGCTCTGTGCACCTGGACACTCAGCCCTGCTACCTGCTGCTGCCAGGGAAGCCACCGACTGGACAGAGGAAACCGCTGGCAGCCGGCCACGGGCCTGGGGGCTGAGGCTGTGCCCGGGAGCCCTAGAGTGTCAGGGCTGGTGGACACCTTAGGGTCCTCCCTCCAGCACCCCATTTTGCAGTGGGGCAAGCCAAGGCCCAGAAACCGGAGATATGTTTAAGGCCGAGCTGCACTCAGCCCCAGCTCCCCCAACACCCCAGCTAGTGTGTTCTGCTGCCCTGCACCTCGTGACAGGAAGCGGCCCCCAAAGGGAAGAAGGACAAGGTGGAGGGAGACCAGCGGCTTGAGAAGGTGGCCCCCTGGGAGGAGGAAGGGGGCACAATAAAAAGGGGGCCTCTCTCAGGCTCCTCTCCTACCTCTGGTTCTTGGGGGCTGTTGCAGGGGCTGCGGGGGCAGAGGTCAGAGGGCAATCCCAGGAAAGTCCGCTTCCCAACCCTGTGCGGAAGCCCAGCCATGTGGCCCTGACGCTGAGCTTCCTTCTGAGTGTGGGGTCTTGGAGCAGAAAAGCACATTCG